GTAATTTTTTTAAAAAATGATTGAATGGTGAACAAAATGTATTCAGAGATTTTAGGACAAAACTAAAGTCTTCAAAGGCTTTGGACTTGGCATGGGCTATCTTGAGCTAAGATCCCCAGTACCTGAGGGCCAATGGTCAACCTCTTTTGTACAGAAAGATTTGAAAATGTGCAAATCTGTTCCCCACCTTTTTTTTTAAATTTAATTTTTAAAAAATATATTATACTATTTATCCCACTTTTTTTAAACTTGATTTTTTAGTAGGTAAAAGAAACATACAGCTCAAGTTGACAAAAATAAGGATACAGGTAAATCTGAAAACACAAATTATAGAGAGGTCTCTCTCATTCTTCCTGCTTCCATTTAATAACTCCTTTTATTAATTTTTTCCTGTATTTTTCAAGAGCTTTTCTTATAAAATGCAAAGCTGTCCCTGCTCATGCTTTTATATGCAATATGAAAACAATCTATGGGTATGTCTTTCTCCCTCATGGCCTTGTTAAACTGTGGGATTTTGTTAATCTGAAAGGTTGAAGGATGGTATCTTGGGTTTTTTGGGGTTTTTTTGGTTTATTTTTTAGTATGTATTCTTATTATGAGTTAGCTTTGCAACATCTCCATTTTCTTAGTTAAAAGTTACACTGATTTTTTTTCTAAAACATCCTACTGAAAGTTACGTATTTATACAATTTCTCCTTGGAAGTTATTTTAGTTGGGGAGAGCTGTAGGGTGATTGCAAAGGAGCTGGGGTTTGAGTAGTTTAAGATCTGAGTGGATAAACTAGTTTTGTGAAGAGTAAGATGGTTTTCTGCAGGCTATCTGATTTTCAGTCAAGTGCTCTATCACTAGTGTAGTGGTAAGGAGTTGCACAGGCAACTCAAAGTCACACGGTTCGAATCTACTGGCTGCTCTGGAGGAGAAAAATAGGCAGTTTCCGCCTGTGCAATTATACTGCCTCTAAAAACCTGCTGGAGGGTCAGCTATGAGTCAGTTCTGACTCCAAAGCACACACCAAACACAGTTTTGATCTTGGGTAGTACCTTAGCCAGGCATTGCACAAATGTCAGCAATTAGTTATATGTCAAGCACTGTGTCCCGAGAACTATCATCAGAGTAAGCACAGTTCAAAATCTGTTTTCTCTCAACAGTAGGCCAGTGGCACTGTACTAATGCCCTTGTTGTTGTTGACTGCTGTTGAGTCGAGCACGACTCATAGTGACTCGATGAACAAAAGGCCTTTCTATAACTATCGTCATTTCTCCAATTTCATAGAGTTTCCAGAGGCATGTGGTTTAGGCAGTGAATGCCACTCTTGCTTCCAAACCTGTTTTACAACTGGGAGCTTCACCAAACACTGTCCACATTGGGAAACCATTCTCGTATTTGATACCCCAATAGAACAAGGTTCAGCATGACAGCAAACCCAGGTTACTTCATACAGCACATTGTCAAAGAGTGATGCAAAAAAGTGGAAGAATGTTCCTCCAGATATAACAGCACTAGTCTCATTTAGCAATGGATAAATGTCATAAAGTCAAATATGACTGAGAGTAGGCTTCATACAAAAGACCTGAACTCTGTTCTATAACTAACATAATTTCTGTACATTTAAGACCTCCATCCTGGGTCAAAGGCTCAAGGACACCGCTCTTGGGGGGTAAAGAGCAGTAACACACATTAAACATGACCCCAAGAAATTTCCTTATGTGACCAATGTGACCACCCTACTCTACAAAAATATTAAGAAGGAGAAGAAAGCATAAAAAATTAATTGTATTCACTGTGGGAAAGAATTCTCTAAGCAGTGAGAGATATTAGTTCTATTTTAGAAAAGAAATGTATGTTTTGTTGTTTGTATTACTTTTAAAAAGGAACCTAATTTAAGATGAGAATATTTGTTAATTATTGCTAATGTTTACCTTTGAGGAACAGGGAAAACATTTTGTTCCCTTAATTACTTAAATGATTTTTCACTAATTTTTACAAGAGTAACTTAGTAAATATTTTATTTAGACATAAGGGATAAACTAAACATCAACTCAATTGCCTTCCAATTGGAAATAAAAATCTGAATTCACATGGATTAAATCAAGGTCGGGTCATTCTCTTTTTCTCACTATAGTGGGCTTGATATTTGACATAAAATCCTAGATTAATTTTATACTTATTTATCCTGCACTAAAACTAGAACTTCCCAACACTATCTAAGAACTCATTTTATTGCAATTATTTCAAAGACTCAAAATCCTCAAATTTCAAATTGACCATTGCCTTCAGAAATGAGTGTAAAAATCTGATACGTTAAGCTAGTGTCTGCATGTAAAAGGAATTTTTGTGACATAGTGAGTTAAGAATTGGACTGCTAAAAAAAAAAAAAAAGAATTGGACTGCTAAACAAAAGGTCAGTGGTTCAAATCCACCAGTCACTTAATAGGAGAAAGATGCGGTTGTTTACTCCCCAAGATTTACAGCTTCAGAAACCCTATAGGACAGTTCTCTAACTTACGGAGTTGCTGAGTTAGAACTGACTGGATGGCAGTGAAGTTTGGGTCTGTATATAGTAGGAATATTTTAATTTGCTAAGTTACCTTGCTATACTGTTGTCAAATCACATTTGAAAAAAAATAATACAGATTATGGTTTGGGAATCAGTTTTAATATATCATTTCCTGTCTTCCCATCTCCAACTTAAAAATATTTAGCAAAAATATGAGAGTTCCAGTCTCTCCATATCTTCTTCAACATTCATTACGTGTTGTCCTGTTAAACTCTGCCATTGCTACTGGGGCGAGATGGTATCTCATTGTGGTTTTGATCTACATCTGTCTTACTGCAAGTGATATGGAGCAATATATGGAACTCTAATACACTCTTGGTGGCATTAGAAAATGGTTCAACCACCCTGGAAGTCGGTTTGACATTTCCTCAAAAAAGGTGAACATTGAAATGCCATATGACCAGGTATTCCACTGCTAGGAATATATTCTGAGGAAAAGAGAACTGGGACACAAATGGAGATTTGTACACCGATGTTTACAGCAGTGTTAATCACAATAGTAAGAACATGGCAACAGTTCAAATGTGGATCAACAAATGAATGGACTGAGAAATTGTGGCACATTCACACGATGGAATACTATGCAGCGCTCAGGAGCAATGACTTTAAAAAATACTATCTAACATGGGAGAAGCTAGAAATCATTATGCTGAATAAGTCTCATAAGGACAGATACTTCACAAGACCATTATTGTAAAAATGAAGGATAACTAGTAAGATGTTTAAAAGTCCAAAGGGGCAAGGGGCAGTGGGGTAAGGTGCTGAGGGTGGGGAGAGGGGAAAATCATGGAATTGCAGAGTTTGGTGGGTGGAAAGAGGGGCAGGGGAATTAGGAAAGATCCAGTAGGCATAGACCAATGGTGATTTGCTATAGAAAACAAATGTATGGGAATGATTGTGAGAAGCACAATGTGAATGAAAGAATGTGTGAAACTCAAGTGTATAATGAATGATACACAATGTATATGAATGTTGTGTACAAACCAATATGCAATTAAAAAGATGTAAAAAACAAATACAAATTAATGGTTATACTATAAAAATATTTAGCAAAAATAACTGTATGAAAGCAAGTTAAACAGATTAAAATGCAGGCTACAGAGTGGGAAATCAGAGCAGTGTTGAGGGTCTGGAGGTGAAGAAGAGAGAGCCTACTAGCTGATGTTGAGATAAGGAAATCAGTGCATCTTTAACTGTATTTATTAGGTTTTATTATCTTGCAAGGAGATCTACTTCTGAAAACCCAAGCATTGGAATTCCTTGGGAGCACCAGTCTTCATGTGGTACACACACGTAGGGGACTGGGGGAGTGTGTCATGATGTGTTGTTGTCTTAACGGCAATTGGCTATGTTGGGAAAGACAGCATATTAATGTATTTTCCTAATACTTCTCCTGGTCTAGAGTAGGCAGAAAATCTGTTAAAGGTATGAACCTAGAGTGTTATGGTAAGAGGTATCAATTGCCATGAGCTCTGGAGTAGTCTATTTTGATGTTTTTATTTATATTGAGAAGTTTCTTAGCCTTTATAATCATCAGTCCTTAAATCTGTAAAATGAGAATAAGAATAGTACCCAGCTTAAGCAGTGGTGGGAGAATTGTCTGAACAAACTCAAAAGAATTTCTACTGTACCATAGCACATTGGGTGACTTCTTTGCTGTTTATCCTATTTTCATCAATTCTATGATGTACACTGTTCCATACTTATTATCTCTGAAACATGAATATGTCTTAATATGAACAAGCTGATAATTATTTGCTTTATTTCTCCCCATTTCCTAGACGGTCCTAAAGTGATAGTGCAGTTTACATGTGAAAGCACCCTAGATTTGATGGAATACTGTATTGTGGGCCCTGCATTAGAACTATCGTACATCCAAGACAGCTCCAAGTCAGTGCGTGTGGGGTGAAATACAGCAACCAAAAACATTTCTATAAATATAAACTCAATATTATCCTGTACACTTCTCTGGTGTTCCATACTTACTTGATTGCATATCATATTTAGGCTCTCAATATAACCGAGATGGCTCTAGATATAATCAAACAACAACAACATAATTACTTAAAAATTTTAACAGCAGAAGCCTAATAAGTCTATATTGCAAGCATGCTTTAGAATTTTAACAAATGTTCTAATATACATTCTAACAATTCAATGTCAAATTTCATCTATTAATTATTTTTTTAGAGTTCCTGGTTACTTTATCTGCTTGATGCCAAATAGGGTAAACGGATACACAGCTTAGAGAAACCAAAACGGGACCGTATGCTATGAAATAAAATCAGTTCCCACAGGCAAAGAGCTAAATCCCCCAAAGTATTAGTTATCTGATAAGTTTGACCAAAGAAAGAGAACACTTGTAAACCTAATCCAATATTCAACATTCAACTCTTTCAGAACTGGTCAATCATTTTTTTGAGAAGGTTCTCTTTGTTTTTACCTGTGGTTCCCGATGTATAAATGTATAAGGCCGGAGTGGTAAAAGTGACCTCAGACCTCCAAGACTGTGGGATGTTTTCCGTTGACACTTCGTCCACTTTGTCCAGGAAAGAGTCAACCCCTTCCGTACTGGAGGTCCTGCTCACGTAATAGATCGACACGTCATCTTTTTTCAGACTGGGCAGAACCTCTTCAACAGCTGCTTGTAGTTCTTCATTTAATAAAAAGAGAAAACCCCAAAGTAAATTAGTTCTTTTGCACTTCATTAGTACACATCTCATGGCAGTTTTGCTTCCAGCATAGTTTTCACTAAAATGTATAGACATGATATGTGCTGCTACAATTAGGTAGCTTTTTGAAACCATGGAATTTCCTATATTTGAAAAATATCATAAGATCCCGATATCTGAGGGGAGGTTAAGGTTTTTTTAAGTTCATTTTAATAAACGGAGGGGAGGTTAAGTTTTTATAACTCCCTAACCACATTTGGTTGGCTGAAATCTGTACTTCTTGTGGCAGATGCAGAAAGCTCTGGAATTATAGTTCAGAGTGAGTTGCACAGCCAATCCAAAGGTTCAAATCCATCAGTTGCTCCATAGGAGATTCCAAAAGGCAGTTTCCTCCAGTGGGAATTTACAATCTTAGAAATTCCAGGAAGAGTCAGATATTAGTTGGAACTGAATCGTACTGAGAATATGGCAAATGCAAAAAAATGGTCATATGGAAAAATACCCCCCAACTTGGATAATTTATGTGTATTACTGGCATACACCTCAAAGATACTAAAGAAATGCTGCTGTTCATAGTCTGTATCCCATAGTACCAAAGCTGACAAAATACATTTTTTTTTTACAAAATACAATTTTAAGGAAGGAGCAAAGATTGACATGCTAGCTAACAAAGATGACAGAAGCCAATGTTATCTAACCATTTTCTCAGAGAAATTTTTTTCTACTAATTTTTCTAAAATACCAGTAATAAAATAGTGACCTAGTGGTAAGAAGCTGCACTGCAATCCCGAAGACATGTGGTTCTAATACACCAGCTGCTTCACACAAGAAGGATGGGCAGTCTCCTCCTGTGCATTTAACTGCCTCTGAAAACACACCAGAGGGTCAGCCATGGGTCCATTCCACTAGCTGGCACACAACACAACAGTAAAATAGTCACACTAAGAAGTTTCAACTGATCTCAGAAAATAAGCTTTCAGCTTCATAATCACATTCTAAGGTTTGAAAAAAATGGACTAATTTAAAACAATATTTTTCAAACTGTGGGTCACAACACACATTCATTAAAGGAATTTAAAATGGCTGCAGTTTTTAAAATAGAAACAGAATTGGAGTTTTTCACAGCACACCACACCTAGGAAGACAATATAGTTGACACTTCTATCATTTTCCTTTTTCTGTAAGATTAGATTTTTCCTTCTCAGGATCCAATCGGAGCCTGCACACATCTCCATGAGGACACTTATCACAGAGGATGACAGTGGTTGAATTCTTTTTCTCAACTAGTAGAGTTCAAAACTTGGAGATTAAAGGATCCTAATTCAATCATTTTTGCACCATCAATCTCAGGTTAATGCTTAGTTACATGTACATAATTTAAAGAAGAGGCACAAAGTTAGAAGACTAGACAAAACAACCTATAGTTGTTGATGTAAAGGCTGCTGATCTTGCCAGACTCTGGAGGTGATATACCTTAATGAAATATAATGTAGAATATGGTAAGTTGGATGATGCAGGTATACAAATGCAACAACACATTCTGGAATTGAAGACATCTCCCTTTCCTTTGCCTTTCTCCCTCCTTCCTTCCCCCTAGCACTTCCTTCCAACAATTACTCAACACTTATTTCAAGAGTGTCCTCTGTGAGCAAGATCAATACCATCTCTGATTTCACAAATCCTTGACTGAATAGGAAGGATGAGGAAACAAAAAATCCAGCTGACTACAATAAAGTGTCCTATAATAAAATGGGGCAACCACTAGGGAAAACAGTATGGTACTTTCTTACAAAGTGGGAAATAGATAGTGGAAATAGATACAGCAATTCCACTATTTGGTATGTATACTAGGGAAATGAGCTATGAAGTTAATCAATCACAAGAGGAAAACATTGTATGACACTACTATTAAAAAGAGGTCAAGGAAAAGCTTACTCATGGGACAAAAACCAACATTCTCCAAAGGTCACCAGAGCTGGAAGGGAAAGGGAGGGTAAACACTAATGAGAGGGTGATGGTGGTTGTAAGGTGCTGTGAGTCGACTTTACCTCTCCTATGCCACCCTCACCATTTCTCTTGTTACAGTCACTGGGTCAGTCTACCTCACTGAGGGTTTTCCTTTCTTTCAATGACTTTCCAAGGAGGATGCCCTTTTCCAAGGACTGGCCTTTCCAAACAACATGCACAAAATATGGGAGGGAACCGTCACCATCCTGGCCTCCAAGGTGCACTCTGGCTGCCCTTTCTCCAAGACCTATTTGTTCTTTCAGCAATCCATGGGATTATTAAATACCCTTCTCCAACACCACAACTCAGAGACATTGATTCTTCTGTTACCTTTAGTCATTGTCCAAGTTTCAGATACGTAACAAGTCACTGAAAAGACCATGGCTGGAAAAGATGCACCTGCATATTTAAACTGATATCACTGCTCCTTACCAACTAACTCCCCTGTCTGCTACTGCCTAGTGGTAAGGAGCTGTGCTGCCAATCCAAAGGTATGCAGCTCAAATCTACCAGGTGCTCTGATGGAGAAAGATGGGCAGTCTCCGCTCATGCCATTTATTGCTTCTGAAAACACACTGGAGGGCCAACTCTAAGTTTGTCTGACTTGATGGTACATAATAAGAACTCAAAAGTAGATGCATACTAAGTTGAGCGAAGGGAAAGGAAAGATAAAACAACCTGGAGACCACAAGATAAAGATTGATAGAACCACTGAGACTGTGGCCTTTAAATGCCCTTCAGGTCTAGAACTGAACTCTCTGCTCGGGCTCAACTTTCAGACAAACAATGTTTTATTGTTACTGTTAGGTGCAGTAGAGTTGAACAGAAACTGAAAATACAGGGCGGAAGTGGTAAGAAAGTTGTTATATTATGGAGACTGTAATCAATGTCTCAAATCAAAATGTGTATGAGTTGTTAAGTGGAAAACCAATTTGTTGCTTAAGAATCACAATAAAAGTTCAAATAATTTATAATTATAAGTAAATAAATGCCATAGGTGTCATAATAAAAGGAAAGAGAAGGTGTTTGGGGAACACTTGTTGCTGCTGTTGTTATGGGTAGCATCTAGTGAAGAACAACTCACAGTGACCCTATGAACAGCTGATCTGAACCTTGCCCTTTCTTGTGCCATCCTCATCTCTGAACCACTGCTGGGAACACTTAGGAGTAGGGCAAAAACTGAGAAATCAGTTGAAATGCACTTAACCTGTTTTTGGCAGAGGGACGCCTTTATAAAAAGAGTCAGTGGTAAGACAGCATGTCTTAAGAAAGCAAGTAAAAAAGTTAAGCTGACTTAGGTGTGGAACAGGAGGAGAAGATGGGACAGAGAAGAGGCTGCTGCTGTAGGTAGGGACCACTTGAGGGCCTGCTTATATCAGGTTCATGGGTCATGGGTATGCTGGGCTGAATAATGTTCCCCCAAATTCATGTTTGCTCACAACCTGTGATTGTTGACAGTATTTAGAAATAGGGTCTTTGCAGAGGCATTCAAGTCAAGAAGAGGTTGTGCTAGATTAGGGTGGACCTTAAGTTCAATATAACTGGTTTCCTTGTGTCATGTATTAAATTGTATTCCTCCCAATGTATGTGATGGTATAAGGTGGGAGCTCTGCAGTGATTCCCCACGAGCTGATAAACAAATAGTTGTATTAAGGGGAGAATACAAGATTCACTAATCCCATCACAGACATAATCTCATGTAAGGGGAGTTCCCCAGGGTGGGCATAAATACCATTTTTTCTCATTAGAGATAAAAGGGAGGAAAGTGAGAGCAAAGACCTTGCTACAATCCATAAAGCACTGCTAAGAATGGATGGACGTGGGCGTGGGCCTCTTCTCAGAGAGGCTCCTAGACACTGGGAAGGCCAAGACTCATGAAGATGTACTGGGAATACCTGGCCCAGAGATGCTGAAGGAAACATGGACTTTCCTCCTGGATCAACACGGAGGCTCTTCCCCTAGAACTGGCATCCTGAATTTGGATTTCCAGCTTCTTAAACTCTAAAAGAGGAAGCTCTGGTGACCTAGTGGGTTGAGAGTTACATTGTTAACTCCAAGGTGCTGCCTCTCTGGTGGTCCAAATTTGCCATTTGGTTCTTATAAGAAAGATGGACAATCTCCTCTTGATTCACAACCTCTGAAAACCCACTAGAAGGTCAGCTATGAGTTGGTTCTGACTTGACGGCAATGAGTAGGGAGGGAGACTCTTAAGAGTTAAGAGCTTCAATTTGTTAAAGCCATTCACTTGTGGTATCTCGGTTACAGCAGCATTAAGTAACTAAGACATTTTATAAGAAAGAAATTTGCACACAGATTCAGAGAAGAGAATGCTGTGCCAAGACAAAGGCGGAGACTGGTATGATGTGACTGTAAGCTGAAGAATGCCAAGGATTCAGGAAACTATTAGGAGCTGGGAAAGATAGGGAACAGATTCCCCACACAGCCAACCTCAAAAGGAACCAGCTTTGCCAACGATAACTTGCTTTTGGACTTTCAGTCTCCAGAAGTGTGAGAGAAGAAACGTCTGTTATTTAAGCTGCCCAGTTGATCCTTTGTGATGACAATCCTAGAAAACTAGTACAAGACAGTGGGATGGGGCAGGAAGACCAGTGAGGAGGGCTTACTGAACAGCCAGTTAGCAGATGAAGCTTGTCTGCACTAGGGCAGTGGCACTGAGTGGAAAGAAGGTGGATGCATGCATGAGATGTTCAGGAGGTAAAATAGACAGGTAGCTGTCGTGATGAGAAGGAAATGATGGGGCAAAGGGACTTTAGACTGTCCAGTAATTTAAGAAAGGAAAACGTACTACAGTATTTTCTCTTACTTTAAAAACACTAAACCAAAGGGCCCTTCATGGCACAGTGGTTAAGTGTTCAGCTGCTAACTGAAAGGCTGACAGTTCAAATCCACTAGGAGAAAAATGTGACAGCCTGCTTCAGTAGTGATTATAGCCTCAGAGACTCTGTGGGGCAGT